TAATCATTATATGAATTGGTAGATGTTGGATGTCTGACTTTGAACTTTGAAGTACCATCTTGGTTGCACTGGATTTTGTTTATTTGTCAGGTTATTTGCAGGACTGTATCTTTAATATGGATGCGCTGATATGTTTCAGCTTGAACATTAGTCTTTGTAGACCCAATTTAAATTTTTTTGCCACCTATACTTTATTTCATCTGTAGGTGATGGCTTGGGTGAAGGGTATGGTATGCTTGGTCAGGCAGGAAGTGGAAAGTTGCGTGTATCACTTGCGCAGAGCAAACTTGCTGCTAAAGTTGCCAAAAGGTCGGCCACTTCCTTCTTTGATCATTTTTCATCCTCTAAATTAAAAGCTAATATTATGCTGTACTTGGTAATATGCTCATAGATGTATAAGTGAGAGGAGGGGATAAGGTATTTTTAAATGAATGGTATATCTAAATTCTAACAATGATCTAAAATTTTTGTTGTTGACCTGAATGCATCAGGTTCAAGGAGAAACAGTATGGAAGCAGTGGGGCAACTTCAGGATTGACATCAAGTTTAGCATTTACACCTGTGCAAGTGAGTACATATGCAACTAGAGCTTGTTTTGAATTATCAGTTCTTTTAATTTCGTCCACAAGGATCACAATGTGTTTTTTTTCCATCATCAACCTCATTATATAAATTTAAAATAGTTTCATGTGAATATTGGAGACTCATAGGACAGAAGTGAGGATGAACAAAAGAGGCAAAAGGAAGGACGAAAGATATTTGTCCGAAATTGTCCATTTGTTGGTCCAATGGATATACTTCTGTTGATTTTATATGTGCATTCCTTTCTTGGTGATAGTGATTATTAATTCACAACACCTTTCGTTGTGTGCATGGCAGAGAAAACGAGAGCTAATGGTGTTCATGGCCCTTACCACCAACTAGAGTTGAATTCAGGGTTATAGTTAAAACACCTGCAGCTTGACACGAAACAGCAATAATCCATTACCTACTGTTGATAATGTTCAGAATTTTTTCTGCCGGTATTAATCTGCGCAAGCTTCATGTATATCTGCATTCCTGAATTCTTTATTCATGTTGGACGATATAGAGTTTGTTTGATAAACAGCTGAGTATAATCAGACCACAGTTATTCTGATCATGTTCTGCTAGTTGTGATCCATGAGGCTTGATATCTTTGTAAATTACCCTTGTGAGAGGACTCCCAGATCCGTTCATCTTATAAATTTTATGCTTAATATTTCTGATCACATTTGTTAGTGTTATTCACACATAATGTTGTACTGTAACAATTTCAGCATGAACTAAATTGATGCTGAGTTTGTGTGTCCATCAGGGAATCGAACTTTCAAATCCACAAGCTCATGGGAATCAGCTCGGCAGTGGAATACAAAGCACCTATTTTTCTGAGACGGGGACATTCTCGAAGATCAAAAGGATGTAATTATAGACCAACCTCAATACTTGGAATTATCACAGTTTTATCTCACAAGTTGGATGGATGGGATGGATGATATTTTCTGCTAGTTTAACAGGTTGCCCAAGTGTTATCATGCAAGACATGCAAATCTCACTTTATGTATCTGCAAGTTATAGCTCATTAATCTGTCATCCGAATGAACTTTTTACCTACCGATTTGAGCTTTGAGTTGATCGAGCTCCTAACGGAGTTTATCGACTCTTTGTTTTTGTTATGTGACTGGAGTTTGTTCCCTTGTGTGCATTGCATTGTAATGATCCGTATAAAGCTTGTGCATTTATCCTTCTTCCGATGATAGATTTGGTACCTTTTAGAAATTTTGATGTTTGTACATTCAATAGTATTTTTAGACTTCTGGATGAACATTCATAACATTTGTTTACAAATTATCAGAAAATTTTGGATTCTTCATATATACTCTTTCGAGGAATACATATATGCATTAATTAGTCTCGGAAAAGACTACTCGCAAAAACTGGTATGTATACAACAAATATGACTTACTGCATAAAACTTTTGTTGATTGTATTTCATTCTAAAGTGGTGTCGGAACCAACTTTGTTTCTTGTGAAGAGCCTATTGCAAGCATAGCATGATGTCATGAAATGATCGAGTAGAGTAGTCTTTGATGATTTAGTATAGGGATGTTATAGAATTACAAGGGAATTGAGAGTTCAAAGAGTTGAGATCGAAACCCTTGGAAATGTATGAGAGTTAATTTGTGGAATTAATTTATATAGAATCGTTAAATTTACTCGAATGTGACGAGTTAATTGAATAGAGACAATCGTTTTAGAAGATTTAAGAATGTTTTATGATCGAATTTGATTATTTTAGAAGATTAATGATGTTTTATGCTTGGATTCAATCATGTACAAAGATTGAATATACTTTATAATCGGATTTAATCGTGTTAGAGATACATGACTCTTCATGGTCGGATTCAATTCTATCGGAGATACAAGATACTTCGATTTTTGGATTCGACCGTATTAGAGATTTAGGAAACTTCATCGGCAAATTGGATCATGTTGGAGATATGACACAATTAATGACCAAATTCGATTGCTCAAAGATATTCGATACTTAATGGTTATATTTAACCATGTCGAACATACATACGTGACACATTATGGTCGAATTTGATTCTATTAGTTGGCGGACAGATATAGCCACATCATCTAATTTTATCATTTTCCTAGTAGTAGTGGTTATCATAACTGCCACTAAGCCACTTCACGTATGATGCTTGATATGATTTGATTTGATGTATGATGATTCAAAATCATTGTCATGACATCGATCTTTTGTGGCTAATAATGATCTTTGCACTTCACCCTTTAATCAAATCGTCGGGACATAGTGACGAAGATCAAACAACGCTCCACCCCTATAAAAAGGTCTTATGCCATTGTTTCATTCTCACTTGTATTGTGAGAATCTTGAACTTTTGAAACTTTTCCTTCAACCTTTGAACTTTTGATTAGAAACTCTTGTAACATATTGGTCCTTTTAATAGTATCAAAAACTATCGTTGTATATTCTCATTGTTTAATATGTTAGGGACTCGGAGACAATCTTAGTTTTGGTCGAGACTTGTCAAGAGATGATTGGTAATAATCATATGATCGAATAGTTCACCTAATTTATCTTAGGTCAGCTAGTAGAAAAGCTCAAGGATTAAGTATAAAAAGGAACCATAGGCTCAAGCTGAATAGGGGACTCTCTACGTACTGACTCAGTCATACATCTTGCATTATTGTTTTCTCTCCTTCAAGGACTTAAGCATTAGAGAGGCCTATTGTCTTCTCCCCTTCGTTAGCTTGAGCATTAGAGGGGTCATGTCGAGCAACCGCCAACATCAGCCTATCATGTAGGATGGTTGACCACCCGAAGACACTCAAACGACCCAGCCTCCAGGAAGGAACCTCGTAATCAGGAAGATCCCAATTTACTTATGCAGTCCCACCTCACTATGTCTCTCACAATCAGACCCACTTATCGATAGTACTCATGATACCATCATGGATTATCTTCATTGTCGAGATTTGTCATTGAGACCTATTGTCTGAAGAGCTCTTCGTCCATAGAGTTTAGATGCACAGTTCTAAGCAACTATTGATAATGTATATTTGTATCATTATTAATCATGATGATGCAAAAGATGGTAAATTATTAATGCAAAAAAAGATTAGGAAGGGTTACTCTATAGTTATTTTTCTAATTAAGATTTATGGACCTATAAATTCCTTATGATTATACAAGTCCATTTCTTTTTTATGTATGATATCATGATTCTCTCTAGTATCATCTACTAATTCTAAATTTAATTTGAAAGTCACGTTTTAATGTAAATATTTTTGAGTGACCCTAAATAAGTAATTTTTTTTATAAATCATATTTCAATTGGGAACTTGATTGGTTGATTCACCTATAGATCTTGCTCTCTTATTGCTTGATGTAAAATATGTCATTCTTAATTTTCATCTGATATCCATTATTTTATCATCCATTATATATATATATATATATGATTAATTATGTACTATGAATATTTGATGCTGATATGTAATCTAATAAACCCATCGACATGCTAAATTTGTGAACATGGACACATCACCAACTCGATTCCATTAACTAATTGGTGAGCATAATTACAAGAACAAGCATTCCAAACTTCCTAAACTCTCTCATTTCCTAAATCTTCTTGCCTTCATTCCAACATTAAAATCCTCGAATCCTTGAACCAACCAATCCAATTCACTGCACATCGAATCCCATGACTCCAAAATGTGCCTACCAATTGAAGTGAAATGAGTGCAAGAATGGCTTCTTCTCTTTCTCACTTTGCCATATTTCCTTTCATGGCCACACCATTCCGCTGTTCCACCTCGCCCACCTCATCCACCGCCGCGGCCTCGGTACCTTCCTTCACCTTCTTCACCACTCCTAGGAGCGCTCCCTTCTTCCGCGACGGGCTGGTGAGAGAGTTGCTGGTGGGGGAGAAGGGGAAAGAGGCCACGAGGAACGTCAAAGAGCTGGCGGAGGCGGCGACGGAGGAGCGCGGATCGTCGTGGCGCTCTCTTGAGACCATGATAACGGAGGTGAGCGAGATGAGAGCAAACAACTCCCCGAATGACATGGACACGTCCAAGCTTTCTTAGAAGTTGTCGTCCTAATGATTGACCACAAATAATTCTGACATCAGGACATATTATTGTTGTCGTTATTGTTTTTATTATAGTTCTATGTCATAATTAAATTCAGCTATTGTTCTCTGTTCATCCTTTCTTGATCACTGCTCAATGCCGTCGCTTTTAGAGCAGACAGAGTATGGCATTAAACTCTCTCTCTCTCTCTCTCTTTCTATTCTATTCTATTCACAGCAGTAAATATGAGACAAGTCAAGATTGATATGCAGACAGAACCAGATCAAACATTTGTATTTGTATTTAATTCTGTACACTGATGGGATGCGAGAGTAGAACAATTGAACTCATCCATATGGTGCATCTATGTACAAGTATATTTCGGGACTATACTGGATTACAACTCTTCTAAAATCCGAGCTGAAATCAAAGAAAGATCTAACGAATGATCAAAAACCATCACTGTGCACGAATGATGTGTTCTTGCGCAGCAGATGCGACAATGACAGGGTATCCCTGGCCATGGAGACTCTGTATGCAATTGACGAGCGATATGGCCTTCGCCCTGGCTTGAGAAGTGCCGTGCGCGACGAGGGAGTACAAGGAGGGCAGAAGCGCAGGTATCTGTCCAAGCAACCTGACCACCTTTGCTCCGCCGGTGTCGCAGAGAGAGAGGAGGGTGGAGACGCACTTCTCCCTCCCAGACCGAGACGTGGACGACCGGAGGAACTCCACCAGTTGAGGTATGGCGGAGGACTCCAGAATCGCCGTCGCACCGTCGTGCCTCTCTGCGGTCTTTGCAAGAACACCCACTGCATCGCCAGCAAGATCCTCTTGTTCGCTGGAGAGAAGAGCCACGAGAACCGGGACAGCCCCTGCATCGAGGGCCTTAGGCAGGATGTCGGGAGCCTGTAGCAGCATATATAGAGCAACGACGGCGTTCTTCCTTCCCCGGTAAGTTCCTTCCCTCAAGAGCTCCACCAATGTCGGGATCGCCTGAGGTATCTTCCCGATCTCGATTCGATACTCTTCGATCGATGACAGGTAGAAGAGGATGGCGACTGCGTTCTGCCGGGCCTGACTTTTGAGTGCATATCTGATGACATCAACGATGAGGCAGAGGCCACCGACCTCGACGATGGCCCTGCTGCCATCTGGGTGCTTTGAGATGTTCAACACCGCCGCCACTGCATTTTCCTGGATCGAAGTATCCATTGAAGAGAAGAGCTGGAGAAGCCATGGGACTAAGCCAGCATCTACTAAGCAAGCTCTGTTAAAGATGTTTGATTTGGACAGCTTCCTGATCTCGTGAGCGGCCTTGTTCTTCTCTTGGTTCGTCCCGGTCGCAAGCTTGTCGACTAGAGAAGCAGCCACCATTGCCATGGCTCCTGCTGCCGCCGAGGTGAGAGGCTTCTCGGTCCTCGCCACATCGCGCTTCTGCTTGGCCTTTGGTTCGGGGAAGCGTATGTTGTTCTGTTGGCAGAACTGCTCGACGAGGTTCCGAATGGCGGAATTGGGAACCATATCTTTGTTGGCCAGCTTCTCGCCGGTGACCGGGCAGGAGAGACAGTCCGATTCGAACCACCTCGAAATGGATGCTCGGTCGTAGGTCTGACCTGTGGCAAGCGTCACAGGGTCCGTCATGAGCTCGAGAGAGATGGGGCACCGGAGATAATCCAGATTGACGATGACATGATTCATGGCTGTTGCTTGGGCCTTCAATTGCTCGTCGGCGCTCTTCTCGTCGTCCATGGTATCGAAAAGCACCGCCCGGCAATAGGCCATGAACGCCATCAAGCTGTCAAGTAGGGCTGCCTCTTCGCCGTCGTCGGAGCTCTCAAAGAAGAGCTCTTCCATGAACGCAATCTCTTCGCCGCAATCGTTCCAGCTTCGGATGTGCAAGTGATCCAAGATCTGTCTGAGGGCGCTCCGGGTCGGAGCAATCCCATTCTTGAACTGGCAAAGCACGGACGAAACACTCCTTATTGCCTGGGCATCATCGGGCTCGGTCTCGATCGTGGCCTTCCATGCTTGCTCCTCGACGAACCGAATCAACTCCTTGACCTCGGAGACGGCGTCGATCGACGCCAGTGGGAGGACGTCGAGGGCGGCGGATATGGAGCGAACGAGGACCAGGAACTCGCTCGACACCCGCTCCGACCGCATCAGCACCCACAACCGTGCGCCCGGCCGGGCGCAATCTTGGAGGAGGTGGCGCAGCTTCTGGAGCGTGATGTAGAGCTCGGAGAAGCCGACCACGATGGAATCGGGGAGGGCCGACCCCCGGCGGCGGACGTCCGCCAAGAACTCGCGGATCGTCACGACCTCGCGGATCGCCTCGCGAGCGCTGCGCCGGTGGACCCTAAAGGGGCAAGCCCGGAGGGCGAGGATCTCGTCGGCGAGGACGACGAGGGCATCGAGGAGGACACTCGGGCGGACGTTGGCGCCGGGCTGCACCACCGGAAGCGCCAAGAATCTCCGGCGGTCGGAGGGACGTGGCATCTTGATGGAGACAAAGAGACAGCAGCGAATCCAAAATGGGGAAGGAATCTGTAAACTGTACGCTGCGACCTTCACCGGGGTCCCCATTTATAGAAGCCACGGGGTACGAGCGACACGCGTCGGTCCAAGAAGTGCCTCTTCTGCGTCGAGGACGGCGGGAGCGATCGGGTCCCTCGGGGACGCGTGGCGAAAGATAACGCCCGAGCCGCGGATGTTTCGTGCGTCAGAGGACCAATGCCGCGCGGCCGACATTACCTAAGCGACGCTGTGGAGCGTCATACAGCAAATAAATCAGCACACCAATAGATCACCGACAAGAAAGCTTAAAGATGACGCTCCTGCGTCGGCAATCACATCGGATCGCGGAGATCGGGATTGGGATTAATGTCGTTATTATATGCGTACAAACCAAAAGCGTTCGGGAAATGGATTTAAGGCGGGACCCGTGGCACGCGGAGAGCGGGGGCAAACCTGTGGGGTCTACGCGTACGTACGTGTATCGCGGTGTCGACAGTCTAACCTAGACGTGGCAGATAGCGAGGATGTGGGTCGGAAGGCTAAGCCTGCACGCGATAACACGTGGCCAGGATTACGTCTGGGCTGATAATAACACGACAATTGTGGGGGTTTGTGAGATTAAACATGCAATTAATCTGCATGATGTGTCAAATCATGAGGTCTCATTGCAGCAAAAGCCTGACTCGCTGAGAGAGACACGAGCACTCGTCTCATACGTGACTCCATAAATATCAGCCGGTAATGGAGATTGTGGGGGTGGCCATGAAGACTTGCGTGCATGAAAGGTTCGGACACCGAGAGGCAAACCAATCCAACCTATCTGCACCGTTGATCATCGGGTGCACCGCATCTAGAAGGCGAGTTCACCTTTTCTGCCCCCTCTCTCTCCGTAACAGGTGAGAACTGTTGTGGAATTTAATAAGGGAGTTCGACCCATAACCTTTTGGCACTCAATCAATGATGATGGATTCTTCTATCATCATTTGATAGCAACATTTGTGCTAATTGAAGCCTGTTGTGATGATGGTACAGGGAGATTTGGATTTGCCATTATGGTGGGACTCTCCTTCCCCTGTTCCTATGAATTCACTCGAGGGTAGGGAAAGAGAAAGAGGAAGTTGATGGCACGCAGCCTCGTGTGAAGTCAATGTCATCTATGAGGAGTCTGTCTCTCATCCTAATTCTGCGGTCAAAGTGCCGACCTCTGCAATTGCAGTAATCCATCACAAGCTTTCGAGGAGGAAGTTGCAGAACAGAACAGCGAGTTGTTCATCTATTCATGTCGATGACAGGACAGCATTGCAATTGAAATGATATAAGATAACAAAAGCGGGAATCGTTATTATTTGAAGCGTTAATGAAGCTTATTAGATCTGTCACAGATCTAAGGTTTCCGAATAACTTGCAACAAAAAGACAGTTTCACTAAGCCATTTACAACCATGCAGGATTGTTCAAGGGAGTGACAACTGCCTTGATCTGCAAGTAGTTCTTGAGGCTGTCGATGCCCTTCTCCCTGCCTTGCCCGCTCATCTTGTAGCCACCAAAGGGAATTGCGGCATCAAAGACATCGAAGCAGTTGATCCATACTGATCCAACCCTTAGGGCACGCATCAAGGTGTTTGCAGTATGCAGATTGTTAGTGAATACACCAGCAGCCAGACCATAGCGAGTTTTGTTTGATCTTTGGATCACCTCATTGAGATCCCTGTCATAATCAATAAAATGTAATTAAGCAACAATTCAATCTAGGTTGCCTTTCAGGCCATCGAAAAGAAAAGATCGACTCGATACAGGTGTCTATTGATAGTTCATTTTTGGGTACAGCATATGTTGTTGATTCAGAAAGGATCAGATTGCACCCAATTCAACAGCATATTTTAGTTTGGTACCAAATCATGAGCACAAAGAACCATAGGTATTTGTATAGACATTACACAGTTTTTGACATAGTATACTCACTTGAACTTAAGGATCGACTGAACTGGCCCAAAGATTTCTTCTTGTGCTATCTTCATACCATCCTAGAAAAGACAAGTATATCGCAATGGGATTAGACTTTCGGTTAAACAAACTTTGATGGTTATTGAAACTAGACATTTAACATTACCTGTACATCAGTGAAGATGGTGGGTTGAATGTAGTAGCCTTTGGTCCCTGCTCGAGTGCCTCCTGTTACAAGGGTAGCACCGTCTTCAACCCCAGATTTGATGTAATGCAAGATCTTGCTGAACTGCTCCTCGTCAATCTGAGATGTTATAGATTAACCAAAGACATTATTTACAGCTTTGCGGAGAGAAAAAGGATCAAGTACAAGAAAGATTCTTCTATCCGAAATTAGGCAAAGAGTTTTAGAGGCAATGAACATAGGTGTGCTTGCTTGAACAGAATTGCTATGCCAATGACATCGACATGAAGTATCTATTTCCTGTGGTTGTTGTTGTGGCAAGTGCTGATATGTATAATACTCTGCACATAATACTTGATACTTTCTTGTTCAGGAAGAAGACCAGAACCTAAACTTATGTTTCAGAAGGTAGACAAAGCTAGTGACAACTATGTAAAATGAGATCTTGTTTCAACCAATTAAACGCCAGCGATTAGATATTTGGAATTTGCTGACCTTTCAAATAGATAATTCACATAATAAAGATCACTATGAACTCATAAACGACAAGGGAATAACAAGTTCTGAAAATTAATCTTGGAGAGCATATAAAGAGAGCCAAAGTAAAAAGGTCCATAAATGTACCTGAGGGCCTTGTTCAACACCCTTAATGAAGGGGTCACCAACGACACGTTTTATCGCACGAGCTTTTGCTTTCTCTATAAACTCATCATATACACGCTCATGTACAAATGTACGAGACCCAGCGCAGCAGCACTGCCCCTGTAGAAGGTCATTCGTATCAGAAAACAGGTCTCCAAGCACACATTTATTTGCAACATTATATAGTTACACAAACCTGATTAAAGAATAAAGCAAAATGCGCAAGCTCTACAGCCTGGTCAATATCAGCATCATCCATTACTATCATTGGAGATTTTCCCCCAAGTTCTAGTGTCACTGGCTTAAGATTGCTTCTTGCGGCCAGTTCGAGTACAATTTTGCCGGTGCTAGTAGATCCGGTAAAAGCAAGCTGATCAGAAATTGTAACATGGGATCAGAAACATACGAAGACAATCACCAATTATCTGTTTCAATGGTAGCCAATATTGGATGATAAGCATTCAATCTAAAAGCACTTGTGAAAGAGGATGATATTTGGGGACTAATAATTTTGATGCTTTTCTGAATCATGCTATTAATCTCAGAATTTAAAAGTTCTTTCATTCAAAACCTGCCACCATATGTAAGATCTTGTCCCTGGCTAAAGAACTTCTTTGCCAATTAAGTAACCTCAGCCGATCAGTTATTATGTCCTAAATAGTTCATATAATGTCCTTTTGGTGATGCAGTGATCATGCTTATACAATCATGCAACAAAAACTTGAAGGCCATAGGTTCACAGATATGATAAAAACTACAAAATCTGTAGTTTTTCCATGTTGCTAACCAGTTTAAATTCCTGAAATTCACAAAGAAATTTTTAGCACCTTATCAACATCCATGTGACTAGCAAGAGCTGCACCAGCAGTAGGCCCAAATCCGGATATCACATTTAGAACACCCTCAGGAAGACCAGCCTGATTCAGAGGAGATGATTAAAATAAATCAGTAGGACAAAATAGAAACAGAGAGAAACAAAAATCATGTCATTCATTTTTCACTTAAGAACAGAAGGTTAGTCCTCTCATCAAGCTTCTTTTTAAAATAGTATGCCAACCACTATAATTTACTACTCGAATGCAACAGCTTGACAAAGTTGTCCTGCCTGAAGATCAACTAAAGGAAAATAAAGGTAAAAGAAAATATTACAAAGAGGACAGTGTTGCTTTACAAATCACTAGGAAAATGTTGCTTTACAAATCACAAACTAGTTCTTGAAGTTGCTTGTTTCTAAAGCTTACAAAGAGGTGTTTTCCTTGCACATTATGGTTGGATGATAATTCTGTCTGTAATACACATTTGATAGCTAGTTATATGAAGTATTGAAATTAGTTCTTCACAATGAATGAAAATCTTTCCTCCTTAAGATAGTTTAACATCCAGTCATTAGATGTACAAAGTACAGTGAATGCCAAAATACAGAAACCTGGGTCACAAAAATAAAGAAGATGCAATTGCTTCACCAACCTCAAGGAATAGCTTTGACACATATAGGGCAGATAAAGGAGTTTGTTCTGCAGTCTTCAGAACGATAGTGTTCCCACATGCTAATGCAGGCCCCACCTTCCAAGCATACATAAGAAGAGGAAAATTCCAGGGGATGATTTGGCCTGCAACACCAATTGGCTCATGCAAGACCTGAACATGGTGCGGGCCATCAGCTGGCACGACAAGCCCATGGATCTTATCTGCCCAACCTGGAAAATTCAGAAAGATAGAAATATATGATTTAGTAAAACAACAATACAAAAGATTGGCAGAAGGGTGGATCATGCCACTGTTATCTTTATCGTTTACCGGCATAGTATCTCATCAGACGTGCAAGCATTGGAATTTCAATTTGAGAAGCCTGTTCAAATGGCTTCCCATTGTCCCAAGTCTCAAGTGCAGCAATCTCATCATTGTGTTTCTCTATCAGATCTGCAAACCGGTTAAGTATGCGCGATCTTTCCTGCATCATCAGTATCAGGAGAAAATGGAAATAATGACTCAAAACTCATAAGGAATTAGTATATAACGCGAACGGCTTAAGAAATGAGAACAATGACTCGAGCAGCAAAAGAAATGAAAAGTTCAGAGCGTTACATAAGCAGTCATCCTAGGCCATGGTCCTTCATCAAATGCCTTGCGAGCAGCGGTGACGGCTCGGTTGACATCTTCTGCATCTCCTTCAGCAACCTGAGCAATGACTTCCCCGGACCTAGGATCCAAGGTTGGGAAAGTCTTTCCTGGTACCAGAGAAATTCACAATAATAAATGAAAATGACAAATTAAGCAATCCAACTACGAGAAGATACCAAAACATTCTTGCTTCCAAAGAAGTTGAAAAATGCACCTGATGCTGAGTCCACAAATTTCCCATTTATTAAAAGCTGCGAGTACTTTACTTGCACTGGTGGTGAAATCGGTTCTTCGATCGCCGCAGCAATGCTAAACCTTCGAAAGACCCCAGACGCCGAACCATCTATTCCATGTTGTCAACATGTCACAAGTTGTAATCAGACTTGGTACTTCAGAGCATCACAGATTACAGTTTGCATCGACATGGAGCATTCTAAAGTCACACAAAGATTAGACTCCAGGAACCAAATAGTATTGTTTGTTCGTTCTTAAAAGACTAATAATCAAATACAAAAGACAGGGATCCTTTTCTCTCTCTCTCTCTCTCTCTCTCTCTCTCTCTCTCTCGGACAAATGTTTTCTTTGATCTAGCCAATGATTAACCAAAGATTAATTCACTTTTTTCATTTCTTAAAGTTGTTCCTTTGAGAAGTACGAAGACAGACCAACCATAGGCCTGCAACTTCATGAAGGGAAAATTCCAGTAGTAATCATGACGATACCTTAAAAATTAATCACGATAAAATGAAATTGAGATAACTGATCGAGATGAGATCTTTATCCTCCGAAAGCAAGTGCGACGACATAATGATCTAAGAAATCCTTCAATATTTTGTACTAATCCTAAATGAAAGGAGAAATAACATACGTATTTCAAATCTCTGAGGAACAAATAAAAATGATCTATCGACTAAAAAACACCACATAAATAAAAAGAAATCCATCTTTGCGCACAGAGTATAAAAAAATAATATCCTACCAACCAGAAAAATATAAAAATAATCGATCCCTCAAACATGACCGCGAAAAAGGTATATCGAAAAAAAGGGCACAAACAAGATCCAGTTTTGATGGCGGATTCTCAACGTTAATGATCAAAGACTCCCGATTAAGCGAAACAAACACCAGAGAGCACGACCAATACGATTTCTGCAAAGCATGGTCACCTTTCCGAAAGAGGGAGTAGGCGAGAGCGCGAGAAGAAGCGGAGCGAGAGCGCGAGAGGAGAGAAGACCCGATCCACCGAGCCGCCATATCCTTTATTGCAGCAGAAACCCAGTACCGGGAACCAAGATGCGAGAGAGAGAGTAAATGAAGGACCCTCTGCGATTCTCTGCACCCGCATACGGGGGGGCTCCAACTTTAATGGGTGGAAGGGGGAAGAAGAAAGAAGGGTAAAACGGTAAATATAACTCCAAGGGATGGACCACGGCCTACCAAAACACTCACCCTCCGTCTCTGTCTCAATAACACAAATTCGTGGGCCCCACGTTTCATGTCACATGAGAAGGGTCTTTGGTAGACGGCGTCGGTACGGGAAACCAACCCGTTGAAGGATTGTGGTACATTGCTCGGAGCATAATATCCAGTTCTCAAAAGAGGCAAGAGAAAATCCACGGCATCCGCCAGCTGTGAATCCAAAAGTACAAGAAAACAAAATAGATAAATATTATTACTATAATGGGTAATGCGCAGCATGCACCGATTATTCTTTAATCAAATGATTGATCAGATGCATAGCATATCCAATTCTTCATATACCCAAAGAGAGGATTGAAAGTTGTGTCATTTACTCGACGCTCAATTCATCAAAGGGATGATGAGAAGCTATCCAGGAAAATTTGGCCAAACTTTGAACGTCTGACTTCCACATTTAGCTGCCTTCTCTGACTCCATTAAATGGCTCTCTCTCTCTCTCTCTCTCTCTCTGTTTTCATATGAATGATTTTTCAAAGACTGCATTCGCATTAGTAATGAAGACACTGTTCTCAGTTGATATCTTGCTGCATTTTCTTGTAGATCTAATCCAAATCCCTCCAAAAATGCGACTTGACTTTTCTGGATCTCTGGCTTTTTCCAATTAATGGCAGTCAAGATGGGGCCATGGAAAGAGGCAAGCCATGGAAGTGACAATGCAATCCATTGTAGCAAACTGTTCTCTCTCGCTCTCTCTCTCACGGAGGGAGTGTTCTATCTCAGATACTCATCACCCTTAGCAAACACGTTCCCTAAAAATTATTGGATCATATCGGTTTGGTTCCAACTCAGAATCCACTCGCCTTTAAGATTCTCTAAGACAAAGTTTGATGTATTCCAAACATATCTATCAGATCAAATCTGTGAGAGAACAAAATTTTTGTGACATTTCGCGGTGTCTATTATGCGAGAAAGAGATGAATGAGCCAAAAGGGACGACCTGCAACAGTCCATGGAAGGAGGACCCGCCGTTAGAATCCAAGCTATCATAAAGACAAGTCGACAAGCAGTACGTGCATCTAATCTGAGTGGTTGGGCTACAGAAATCTTGAACAAGACCTGCAGCTGATAAAGACTTGAAGGATATGGTTTCAGATAATGATTCCCTGCATTCATAGGTCCGGTGAGGATACAGAAGCTAACTTTGCTCCGGCTATGATACCATTTATCGTCGATCCGATCGGATAACCGGGTTTAGAAAACAGACTAATATCTTCGCTATATCATACATGTTCCAAAGATATGATATGGAAGACTGTCAACGCATGCAGCAGGTGGGAGTTGACTCGGAAGCACAAGGAAAAGTCTTACGGCGTGAAGATAAAGGATTTTGAATGACAAGATGAGATTTTGATGACGAATTCGAAGCGACAAGGATCGAAAGCCTAAGCGTGAGGGAGAAGGTATGAGCGATATAGTTTCTGTGAAGCAGAGTCACCTTTGCGGAAGAGCGGAGCGGCCAGAGAGCGGAAGAGGGCAGAGGACGCGATCCTTCGTCCTGCCATGGCTTTTGTTGTTGGGCGAAGCTTCCTACCCAGAGACGATCTCTCTCTCTCTCTCTCTCTCTCTCTCTCTCTCTCGCTTTGCAATGCTCTGCTCCGTGGAAATGGGATCTGGAGTTTATAGCGGTGAAGAACGGAGGAACAGGTAGGGGCAAAATCGTAAATATAATAGGCAATGATCTATCCTCGCTCATGAGTCTGTATTTTTGGGCCCACAAAACTTGGGCACGTCTTGTGTAATTGAATTATTCAAAGGATGATGTCATCTTGTTTGAGGCTTTGATGAATTATTCATTCGGATTTTTATTTTCGAAGTTTATTGCATAAGATTATATTCTCAAACATATCCATTTGAAGTTGATTTGATCGAAACAGAGCCGAAAGAGATTCAAGTTGAGAACAAAATAGAAACATTATCCTCATTATTCCAAATAAATGGGAAGGGATTTTGGATTATATTGGTGTAGAAAGACTTCCACGTCAAAGGAAAAAAAACAAATTAATAACATTATATTCCTATTAATTGTTTGCCTTTGTTGATAAGGAACCAAAAAAACACCTTACTATCCTATCAAGTATGTCTTTATTATATATATATATATATATATATATATATATATATACCAATATTAGATTAATACTTCAAGAATTAAAATTTACATATGAGAATTTTAAATATAAAATTCTCACCAAAAAGGTTTGATACATCTCTAAATAAGTTTGATACACCGATATTAGATCAATATTTAAATTCTCAATTTAAATATAAGTAAATTTGATATATTACTACTTGACTATTGTTTTAGGTGTAACACCTAAAGGTTGAGGGTTGAAAGTTTATTCGATCAAATTTTTACACCCAAAATATTAATTTCAGATATTGTGTATCTAAATCATAAAGGGATAAAAAATTTATATAATATATTTTTTTTCTAAACAATTGGTGTTGTGATTGTATACCAAATCTACTTATCAAAGTTGAAGTTTCAAGATTTTATTTGATAATTTTATTCAATATATTCTATATATAGAATATTGATATGATGGTGGTGTAGATTATATATGCTTACTAGAGGTTGAGTGGTTGAGACCATTCAATAATTAAAGAATGTATTGTATGTTATTTAATATAATAATTTTTAAAAAATATATTAAAAATATCATTCAATAAGTAAGGACTTTTTTACTTTCAATAACAAATATTATCTTTTCCATTTATATTTTAAAAAATAAAATTTTGAAATAAAAAAGAATAAGATTGTTTGGATTTTGGGATAATTTGTGTATTATAATTTTCATTCCTATTGAATTACTATTTTTCATTTCTCTAAAAATTCATCAACATTAAATAAAAAAATATTGGGAGATATAGCCATTGAATCTATTAAAAACAATACAAAACATTACCCGTGAAAGGATGAAAAGATGCTCATATGTTTACATCAAATGGTGACATTTGCTTGGGCTCTAAGACTTACCTGTCATCCTAACAGAAAAAATAACAACACTACCAACTTAACCTACCACTTAGGCTAAAAAGTTACATAAGCAAAGCTAAGAGTAACTTATGGAAATGGTTTGCTAGCCTTCGCCTATCTTGACCTATAGAAAAAGGTCAGGTATGATAGAAAAAGCAATGGTACAAACATAGCACTGCCAAATCGTTCAATCGTGGGACGTCACTTGGAATCGACACGCATACAAGAGCTCATGTTGTTCCCTCATGCGGTTGTCTGATTGGAACACAATCCTCGAAGAACTTGCACGAATTAATCATCGCTACATAGCAACCAAACCCTTCCTCTCAGCTTCCCCTCGATTACATTGTCGGTCGCCAGTGATCCATTGCTCACGACCATAATTTTGGAAGAGGTCATATGTTTAATCACAAAGAATATTAATTCTTAACAACGTGGCCCGACTCTTCGAGCACATAACGTCTATCCTCATCCCTTGTGCATTTTAGGCATAATCTTATTTTGATAGATAGTGTGCCTATAGTCATCCTTCTCGAATATGTTGAGAAACGGGGGAGAGCATCACATGTGCAACGAAAAAATAAAATAAAAATTAATTTCTATAAAAAATATATTTATATCGAATCGCGTGTGACGATTAGGAGCGAAAAACTTGTGAAATCAAAACCACGTAAGACGTAATACGGTCTCACATAAGGAAACTTATATATCCCTGATTTGTAGATCCCAATTTGTGGATGAAGGAGATCTCGCGTTCTCTTCTCTAGCGGTGATCTACATGGCAGATGAAGTGGCAACACACCTTCTCTCATAACACATTCTTTTCTTACTTTCGTATACCACCACCATACAACAAAGACAATCCTTATTATTGCTCTCTCATACTAGAGAGAGGGTAGTCGGCTGAGGAAGAAGCAAGGAGGGAAGGATAGGGTGCGATAGCTATTGGGTCTAGTCTTATAACATTTTTAGCCTCATATCCCTTATATAGATAGCTCTCTTTGCTAACCCTAATGGATCCGGCTCTATTAAGTATTGGATCTCTATCTAATTACCCTAGCATTCTGGATATTGAATCTCCATCCAATTGTCCCTTACTGAATGAAAATTAGATCTCTAAGCTTGGGTCTCACCTAATAGATCCAATAAAATAAGGGCTTATTAGATATCATATATCAAATCCTCTATTCATAGTGTCATTCATCATATATGTGTGACCCTCTAGGTTCAATACTGAGCTGGCAATGAGTTGCACTCATTAGAACTTATTTTGATTCAATGAATTATTATCTCATAATAATTTACTCAACTCATCAACTATATACGTACTAGCCGCTACGCTATATTTTTCAAGCGGTATAGGAGGATCTAATCTATTGGACTTATATGCCCTCAATTATCATGTATCTATAGTTTATTATTCATCCAATATCTTAGAAATCGTATATCATGTATAGTACTATCAAGCCTATACAAAATCTACTTGAGTCTTACTCTAATCAGAGTCTTACTCTAATCAGATTCTTCCGAAGAACTCATTCTCTCTCAATCAGAATGACCCTAGCTAGTGATTTGCTTGAGTGAGAACACAAGAGATATTCCTCTCATGACACCGAGAGTGGATGATCCTCTATTGACACTCAATTGCCCTTGTAAGATTGACTACCACTCCTGATAACCAACTATGCTAAATCTAGAACTTCCAAACCTATAAGTCTGATATCAAAAGTGGAGTACTCATATAAGGCATCCTTGGTATCTTAAGTCTAAGAACTATATACACAACTGGGACCATAGAACTATTGTCTAACGATGATGTATCATTAACTATCTAATATTCCGTGAG